TACTTAATGTTAATTAAATGATACTTGATGTTAATTAAATGTTTGTCTTGTTATTAAGGGCAAACTAATAGAGACTAAGAAAAATGATCGAGTTTGGCCCTTTTGATTTTCTGACTCCAATTCCTTGCACATTTCATTGTAATATTTTATTTTGTCGTCCCGTGCTGCCTTTTGAAATCTTCTATTCAACTTTTTAGTATCTTGAATTCTTCCCTCTGCTTTGCCTTCTCTGCGCTCCAGTGCAGTTTTCAGAGTCTCTTCTGGCATCCATTTTGGTCTTCTCTTCCTCTTCTGTGTTTGTAATGAACGTTTGCACTCTTCTTGGATATCCTCCCACAACTCATCTGGTCTTCGCTCATTAGTGTTCAAGGCCTCAAACCTGTTCCTGAGATGGTTCTGAAAATCAGGTGGGATAGACTCAAAGTCATATTTTGGTTCCTGTGGATTTGGTTTAATTTTCCTCAGCTTCAGCTTGAACTTATACATATGAGTAGTTGGTGGTCTGTTCCACAATCAGCTCCTTGCCTAGTTTTCACAGCTGATATTGAGCTTCTCCAGCGGTTCTTTCCACAGATGTAATCAATCTGATTCCTATGCATACCATCAGGTGAAATCCATGTATATAACCTGAGTTTATGTCTCTTAAAAATGTATTTGCAATGAATAAGTCATTGATTGTGCAAAATTCAATCATCCTCTCTCCAGCTCCATTTCTGTCACTGAGTCCATGTTTTCCAACTACCGAATCTTTTTCTCTATTCCTAACTTTTGCATTCCAGTCACCATTATCAACGCATCTAGACTGCATGTTTGATTGATCTCCAACTGTAAAAGTTTATAAAAATCTTCTATTTCCTCTTCCTTGGCTCTGGTTGTTTGTGCATATTTCTGAATGATAGTGGTATTCACTGGCCTTCCTTGTATGCATATGGATATTTTCCTGTCACTCACAAAATTGTACTTCAAGATCGATCTAGCAATGGCTTTCTTAACTATGAAAGCCATCAGGATGGATGGTGAAGAGACTGAGATTGTTCACAGCTTCAGTTTGCTTGGCTCCACAGTCAACACTCTCGGCACCAGTAGCCAGGTAATTATAAGACATATTGCCATGGATAAGTCTGCTATTGGGACCTCTCCAAAGTACTGAAGAGCAATGGTGTCACTCTGGAGACTAAGGTGTATCTGATACAGGCCATGGTCTTTGCTATCACCTGTTATGCATCAGAGAGTTGGACAATGACTAAGGAGGATAGAGGAGAATTGATGCCTTTGAGCTGTGGTGCTGGAGAAGAATATTGAGGGTACCATGGACTGCTAGGAAAACAAACAGATTCATCCTGGAAAGGGTCAAACCAGGCTGCTCCTTGGAGGCAAGGATTCTAAGGCTCTGTCTAACATACTTTGGACATGTTGCAAGGAAGGACAGGTCCTTGGAGGGGGACATCATGCTTGGTAGGGTGGAGGGACAGCGCAGAAGGGGAAGGCCCCCTATGAGGTGGATTGATTCAGTGACTGGGGTTATGGGGATGAGTGTATCAGAGATGGTGCGATTGGCACAGGACAGAGTGGAGTTTAGGGCTGTTGTCATAGGGTCGCTATGAGTCGCAAGCGACTCGATGGCACATAACAACAACAACAATAGTGACTAAAAGTACAATGGGGAAGTTTTGTCTGGTCCTGAACCATTATTGAGCCCATCACTATCTTTGAGCCTATTTTTGTGCCTTCCAAACTGAAGGTCTCATCTTCCAATATTTTATCAAACAACGGTCTTCAACTGTTTGTAGAACTTCCTAGAAGTTGACACTCAAGCCTTTTTTCTAGTCTATATTAGTTAGGAAGCTCTGCTGAAATCTATCCACACAGCTAACCTTGGTGATATTTGAAATACCAGTAGCGTAGCTCTCAGCAGCACTGTAACAGGCAAATTACCACAGTACAACAAACTGACTAGTGATGGAATAGTTGTCTTTATAGTGTAGCTTTCTATGGATAAACGAAAACATCTTTAACATAGTCGTACAGGAATAGTGTCTTGGTTTGTATTGCAGAGTAAGCACCTGTTATGTGCCTTGAATTTTTATTATGATAAACATGACTGAGGTTGGAACTATGGGTGTATATGTGCAAGGACATTGCAGGAGTGGACATTGTGTGGTGCATGTGTTTCTGTTGTGGTTTCCCCCACTTCCATTAGGCTAGTTTCTCTGCTCCCTTTACATTCTTCTTATCTTTGTTTCAAAGTTAACTGTTGACTTTTGGTCTCATTTTGTTGATATTTTCTTTTTAAAAAAAATTTATTTATTTTTCATTTCAATGAACATCTACAGAGATTTTGGAATTCCATTCATTCATTGTTGCACTTTTCTCCCCGCCCACCCCACCT